CGGGCTATTTTTTTGGTTGCAGCCATCATTGTTGTTTTGGCGGGTCCGGGCTGGGGATTCGAACCCGCCACCTTAGGTGTACGTGGCTGACGCCTTAGCCGCTTGAGCTATAGGTGCCGAGCCCACTGCCAACATCTTTGTATCTTTTTTTTTTTTTGAGACAGAGTCTCACTCTGTGGCCCTGGGTAGAGTGTGCTGGCATCATTACAGCTCACAGCAACCTCAGACTCCTGGGCTTGCATGGTTCTCCTGCCTTAGCCTCCTGAGTAGCTGGGACTACAGGTGCACCTGCTTACCCAGGTCTTCTAGAGGTCTCGAGGCATCAGTGTTTACTAGCACAGTCCATAGTCCGGGCTTTGTTTTCTAGTTGAGGGAGAGAGGGAGCTCACCTCGACGCAGTATAGCTTAGACAGTATCAACAACACTCTATGCTTCATAGGTCCCAAAGGGCTACCGAGCCCAAGTCCTGCCAAGCCCATGTCCTGCCCAGCCATGTCTTGCCCAGCCCACCTCCCAGTGAGCTCAGGTCCTGCCTGGCCTCTGGGTGCATAGCCTCAGCCATGCACTAGGGATGATTCCAGAAAGTTCTGCATTTTTACTCTGTCCTGGTCTCTCAAAATTGACATAACTTCTGGATCTAAGAGGAAATAAAATTTTTTTTAAATTAAAAAAAATTTCTTCTTTGTAAAGTTAACTTACTTTAGAATAATAAGTAATCTCTTACATAGTGTGAATATGTGACTATTTGAAACTACCAAGTGGTGGTAATTTAGGTTCCATTTTGACAGGTCGCCCTGGATGTGCTGCAGAGAATGCTGATTTGTGAGTTGGCTGCTGGGCAGAGCCTGTTGAAGGGCCTCCCCTCTGCATATCCCCTGGACTCTGCCTCCTGCCTTCTACTCTGGCTTCAGATTTGATAGGCAGTGCTATGCAGAGGCAGCACGTTAATCTGTGATTCTGATTGATTGTAAAGGCAGTGGATCTCAGTAGTACTGGGGCACTTAGAAGTCTTGAATGTGATGCTTTCTGGGGATGGGGATGTAACTGACAAATTTATTCCTTGTGCAAAAAACTCTGTTAGAGATTGTTTCTAATGGACTGTCCTTGGTTTCTGTCATCAGTTGTCCTCAATGCTCTGGCTGCTGGAGTCCAGGACGGGTCTTTGGAGCACACGGCGGTACGGTGCTGGTACGTTCCTCGGTAGACCTGCCTGAGGTCTCACGGAAGCTGTCTCTCTACGTTAGGGACACAGGATATTTTAAACACTCCAGATTATCGACACCTAACTGCTGAGCACTCTCTCTACCACTTGTGACAATGTCAGAAAGTGCCAGCTACAAGGCCAGCCTTCTCCCTCTGAAGCTGAGTGGGTTGCCAGGTACCCTTTTCTGTGCGATCCTGCTCTGCCTCTGGAATCCCTGTACTCCTGGTCACAGGAATGGGACCCTGGCAGTCATTATAAACCCTTCCTGCCACTGAGGTGCCAAGGGCCTCTTCACCTGCCTCTCTGGATTTGATCCGGGTGCTGTGGCCTCCATCTCAGCATCCCCCCTGCCCTAGTCCATTCCTGCCTTCATGAGCTTCCACCTTCCTAGAACAGTCATGTTTCCCCTCTGCCTGCTCACAGTCTCGGTAGTGATGGCTTTGCTGCTATTGTCTCTCTCTCTTTTTTTTTTTTCTTTTTTTTTT